GTTCTTCCACTGCCTCTCTTATAAGTTAACAGTCACAAAATTCTAAATTGAAACACCTCCTGAGCTCTTTATTACACTTATGTAAATGTGAATGTAAATTTATTGAGACCATAAGGCAAGGAATCAAAATCAAATCAGAAAAAAGACACATTTTATGGCCCAGAATGCAACAGTTTTTATTGAGGTAAAGCAATACCCCTTTTTCCAAGTGGCTTTTGAGAATAGCTGTTGAGAAAATTAAAGTCGATCCGAGAGAAGGATTCGGTCGTCTACATGATTTGGGTTTGATCCTGAATCGAAATTGTGCCAGAATTAGCAATCCCTGATTAAAATCATAGGACATTGTCGTGTTCAAGGCAAAAGATATACGTGCATGGCTATGTCGTCTTTGTCTTGAGCAAGCGTGGACTAAGAGTGTTAGTAATGGATACATTGTTCCCTCTGATATGGAGAGGTCCAATCGCATCCACTGCCACTCAGTCAAATCGGGTTCGCCATCTCGACTACTCTCGAGTCGCTTGAAGCTCACACCATAACTGACCCATTCCATCCGATTGCGCTAGAAGCATTATAATAACTAATTTGGCGGTGCAGGAGCCAGTGGAGAGCTATTGGCTTCAGCAAGGATTAGAAGCAATTTTAAGAGACTATACAAATCACCTGAATTATCTCTCGTCGATTTATAATGACTGCAACGAATATTTTTTGATGAGGTGCAAGAGACTATCCCTGTTAAATCTCGATAAATCCTTAAGATATTTTAAGGAGTAGCAGCAAACAGTTTCATTTGATTTCTTTAAAAATGCAATCCTTTTACTAAAATAATTCTCATATCTTTCAAGACAACTTAAGCCAAGGGATGCACATGTGTTCAGGCAGGGGCCCTACAGAATGGATGATTGTTCAGTGTAATGTGATTGTAACCTTAAAATTATGGCGACTACAATCGTTGTAGGCATTCACAATACGCTGAAAGATTCACATCACGGTGTCTCTCTCAAAAGGTGGCCATATGTACTTCGTCACAGAAAATTGGCAATTTATACAGGGGACTACCTATAGATTATGACACAGATGATTCTTCCATGCCTAACGTAGCTTTAATCAAGGGGGAAAATCCGCACTGCTCCGTCTGCTGCCAGATTCATTGAATGGTAAGATAGTGCTGATGCACTTAATTTCGTTTTATGGCAGCCGAGGACAACAACTTATGAGCTTTGAAAAAAAAGAGTTGATCCGCATTTAGATAGCCCATTCTCATTCCCATGCTATTACATGTCGGCCCAAATTTGCAACAGTATGCCTTACTATCAGAGGTCTTTTGATGGTTCGTACACCCTTTGTTTCGATGTTTTGGGATATTATTTGACCTCAGCTCTTTAAGAATCAGAGGGTGGAGCTTTATCTAGAGGGCTAGCACTCGGCATTTGCAACATTTACCAATGCAGCTTTAACTATCAATTCAGGGTATCTCGCTTGGTCGTCTCGCAGAAGACCCACAAACTGCTGATTATTGGGAACGGTATAGAGATAATTCTGCTCCAATTGCGCATTAAGCCTTAAAGTGAGCTGCTAAGTCCACTTTGATAAAGGAATGAAACTGAAAATATAAAATAAGATGGGTGATACTGATTGTTATCAAGTCACGGAGGTCAATAAGTGGGTACGTGAAACAGTGTATTATACTCGAGGGATCATTGTATAGCACATACAAGCACGTGCATCGGTCATGAAACTGTGAATGCAACACTGAAATTCAACAGCCTGAAAGACTCCTGGCCCACCGTGATTTATTGCCTACCAAAGCTTAACCCATGCAAAGCGGTCAATATTTGACAACTTCGCTTCATTTAACGCACCACCGAAAAATCTCTTGTGGTTCGCAAAGATGACATGTGTGGAAATACATAAGGATTGAATTGGTAGCTCCACAACGAGAGCTGCAAAGATAAATGTGTTTAATTGTACACAGGACGCAAAACCTGCAAAGCTTTGCAGTAAACGAATATTACTTCAGTTTTACCAGTCTACATGTATTTTAGGAAACATTTTTGCAATCCTGGCTGAAAATAGCCTTTCATATTTTTAACTTGATCACACTCAGTAAAGTTTCGGCAAAGCCTTGGTTCAATTTCCCTTCTATTGACTTCCTTTTGATTATCAGAAGCAAGTACAATTGCAAATGCTACTGTAGGCTTGCCGTTGAACCAAAACTAGCGTTAACACTAACCCCTCATCAAATCGTATCATTTTAGCCCATGGCATTGGACAAAACTTCCCCCAATTGATAGGCCTGTGATGAGCTAGGCTCCTCTACCTAAAGCACCAACGAAAGGGTCGGTATGCTAAATTGTCATGGCAACCAGTGTCTTGTCAAATAAGCACTCTCAAGTACAGTAATAGCGATGATGTGAGCAGTGGAGACGTAAATCATTCAACCAGGAATAACATTAAAGTTGGGAAAAATCACGCAGGATTATGTGATAATTTTCTTGAAAATTTATGCCTTTGTTCATCCGTGGGTACAAGCTGGCTAAAGATATCTATCAATGAAAGCAATTTTACATTCTTTTATGATGCGAACAAAATATGAACGCTAGGCGACCGGTTCCTTGACGGATCGAATAATTTGGCCGCAGGTACGGGCTTAAACCATGGAATAGACAAATACGAAAGCCACACAGGTGTATAGCATCTTAAACAAGCAATGTGAGAGCAGCATCTAGGCATTCTCTTCACTGTGGACTCCTCAAAGAAGCGATTCTTTAGCATCCGTAAGACTTTTTAGACCGCGACTCAATGAAAGGCGCGTAGTAAGCCAGGGTTAATGACTGTCCATAATGATTAGCCAACTTTCCTCCATGGCTTTATCCATTATATATTCAACACCATCACTATCATCATCTGATCACACAGATGAAAACAAGGTGGAAGAGGGAGCCAAATCGCATAATGAAAATCACTCAATTGATATGCAATTCGTATGTCTGAGGCACTGATTACGCTCCTGGACCATTTTTGAGCAAAAGAGTCAACTGTTTGCATGAGCTCTCTGACTATCCAATTTAAATGAACGAGCTCATCAAACTACTTGACGAGTACCGAGGCAATTGGTAGAGTTTTGCAAATGACCCACACGATGCGCTAGCAGCTGCCCTAGATTATGCTTTGTTAGCAAACACTAGCGCCACGAAGCGGCGTCCTAATGTCGAAAATACCCGCTCAATAAAAGATGGAGCTTTTAAAATGCATTTACCTTTATGAAGACTGCTCAATTAACAAGGCACTGGTTACTGTGGCAAATCAGCATACCATGTTCTTTTGTTGGAGCTCTAGTCACTAAGATTTGTGGTTTTGGGGCAGTTTGTCATCAGCCAATCAGTAGGGGAAGTTACGCCCGATTCCATGTGCTAAAGTGTTGCGATTGGTTGAGGAGATGGTATTAGCGCTAGATGTTATTCGACGGCTAGCCTTCAGTAGCATTTGCACCTCTGTGCAAATATTCTCAAAGGTGGCATGAATTTAAAACAATATGAGATCTTCAATTATACTTGGTGTCGATACTGAAAAGGGAAACAATGAAAGGGAATGGAACTAGAGCTTTGACAATACATCACTAAGTGAGACCAAGTTATAAATATTAAAGGCTACTTTTAGCGAGGATGGCAAAAAATATTTTCAAACATAAATGCAGACTAATAAAACTAAAATTATGTTAAGTCAGCGCAAAGTTTTGCAGGTTTTGCATCCTGAGTAACATTGCATGTATCAGAGCGATTTCTCCAAACCATTCTCTTCAACTAACGCCTTTTGATTGCAATCTGCGGCAGATCAAATTGCATTAATCGGCATAATGCTTCAACTAATCCATAGCCCCTTCTCACGGCATCTGATTTTCAGTAGAATCTGAATGGCTTTGCTGATTTGCAAAAAAATTCACTTGGGCTGGAAGATCCCGAGAATCAAAAATTTGTGATGTTATTAGGCCTCAGGTCAGTACCATTCATATTATATATAATACCTGACTAAAGTCGTCAGACGGATGCCGTAAATGTGACGGAATTAGACGCAACTGAAACAGATGAGTCGTTAATAATCTTTGATTTGTGGTAAATGGTTAAATGTCCTAAAGTATCTACCACACTTTTGTGAATGCCGATTACTAATACACAAGCCGATCTGGAAGACTGGTTCAGGCCTTTCGTGTAACTTAAGACTATAGCTCGTTAAAGTAAATGTGAAATATATGCCTGAAGCTGCAAGTTAATGTAGCATCCTTATGAAGTGGCGTTAGGGAAGAGTTGAAGTGTTTCTATGATAGCACCGCAGCTTATATTCTCCGTGTTTGTTATGACAGGAAAGAAATCAAATTGTAAATGGACTATTTAGCTGGAATCATCGGAGGTTTCCTCAAATCGGCTTGAACAGGGCTAATGTTTGGAGCAGAACTACCGAGTGTTAACAAGCCAACTTGACAAGATTAAGCAAGAATTTATTCAACTGATTGTCCTGGTAACAGTTCGACTACAGCTCACGGCCGCTGATCGTCCAATCAGATGCATGCCATGAACGAATGTTCACTATATTCCAGTGACATTAGGGCTGTGACAGCCCCCTTTTCTATCTGTGGTCAAAAGATGGTAATTACATGTATTTAAGATCCGGTTTGGGTGACTGACAGTCAGTTGGTAAAACCGGGAGACAAACGATGCCATCGATGTTTGACGAGCTTCCTTTCGTCTTGGCCCCTGACTCTGACACTGCATCCGATTCAGGTAACGACAGGGATGGTCAAAAGGACCGAAAATGGAAACGTGTTCCTACCAACAATTCCTTAAGGTTAAGGCCAAAGAAGTCGGTGAACGATGAAAATGAAAAATCACGTAGGTTATTATTCCACCTTTTCCATCTTTCACCTTCCTTCAGTTTGCCTTTTTTTCACTCTCTCCTCTTCACTTTAGTTTCCATAATCAAGTTATGTGCAGGATAGGTCATACGAAACTTGAATTTGCGTGTGTGTACACTGTGCTTACGTTGCTCTTTGCTAGTTGCGAATCGTCTACCCTGAGATAAAGCTTAATCAGCGGAATTCCTTGCCACCCGAATTTCTCCGCTGGCTATACAATTTGTGCTATGTTTGATTATAGCTTCATTCTCCCTCATTCTTTTTTGTTCCAAGCTAACGATGTTCAACTCGTTTTGACTGAAACAGCTAGCATCGATTAAGATGCAATGTGCTTAACCTCCGCAGGTGTCTCTGCATTTACATCTGCATTCACCACCGACTCTAAAAGTGTATCTTCCTCAGCCTCAACCACCTCACGTAGGTGTGCCAACCAGAAGGACAGGTTGGATGATATAGATCTCATGAATCGGCTAAAATTGACAAAATGTGGCATTCTTAAATGCGTAAGTAAATATCTACTTTCCTCTGTTACTCTTATAAGTGATTTTTCATGTTTGGGCTGTATCGTACTCGCATCGGCTTTCCTGCTCATTTACTCTACTCTTTAGCGGTCAACTTACCGTTGAAAGTATTTGCATCCACTCTCGTTAGGCATACATCCAACCCTACAATGAACGAGAAGTACTCCATTTTCCTTAGAATAACTGCAGGATACCGCCCTTAATTCTACGTGGCTAGGTCACAGTAAGCACCAAATTCAATGCGCCCTTTGTTTAGCTAGGTCACAGAAGTATGCATTTAGAACTTCTTGGCTAGTATTGCTAATCAAGCTGATACCGTGGTAGAAGTGATCAGCACTTGGCAAACGGCGTTCAATGGTAGTCATTATGCATTCTCCTTTCTTATTTCTCAGTTCGACAAAGGAGAAACCCGATCGGCACTCCTCAACGGCGTGGAGCATCGTGGTCAGCAAAGTGACATCATTTTCCAGTAATCAGCAATTTCTAATCTTCTTTTACACTTTGTTGGAAACATCGCATTTGGAATAAACTATACAGTCACTCTGCGTCCCTCTTTATCCGAAGACGGGAATCTAGTATTTACAACCCGGAAGTTCATCCTTGTGTTCCGTTTACGTGCCTACCGAACCGACTGCTTTTAACACAAACCATTTACTGGGTTATATATTGGCTTGATTTCAGGTAGCGCCCTGGAGCTACACTTTTAAGTCGTCATTAGTACCTCTATAACATGTGCTTGCGTTCCACAAAATAAAACATTGTAGGCGCATTTGCCACTAGTGTTCATTTCACAATTGCTTGAGAATTCAGGATGTTGCACTGCGCCTTTAACTTCTTTTGATTCCATTGAATTGTGATAGAGAATCCGAAAAGGAAGCTGAGAATAATCCATCCACTCAGAGACAATACTTGCACTAATAATTTGGCCTAATTTCCGCTTGCATTTCTCTTTTGGAATCAGCTGGTTGGCGGATATTCTTCGAGCAGATAGACGAGAGTGCATAGGCTACGAGATTAGCAACTCGAAGAGAGTTTGATTAATGGTTGGACTGGTTAGCTAGACATTCACTTGACGCAAGGTAATATCTTAGATCAGTACATGAAACCTTAATCATAGGTAGACTGATGAAGTCCAAATTTAGCTCTAATTCCCAACTGCTTCAAGTCTTTTCGTACTGCTACTATCCCTGGTGAATTTCTTGCTACATTGTCTGGTTGGTAAAACTCTTTTAATTAGCATCATGAGCTATCCATTTAAGCGTTAGCAAGGCCATGTACAGATCGGTGGGAGGATGGCAGTGTGCTTTAAGGTGAAAAGTTTGCTCCAATACTGAGATATGTGATCATTGAGTGTGACTAATCAGTGTGAGTGAACGCAGTCAATCCGGTCTTGGCAAAACTAACAATTTCACGTTATTTTAGCTGCATTTACGGTGTCATGGTAAATGATGTTGAAACTGGTGTATAATTTGAGGCCCAGAATTCTATGAACTCTGGTAGGGAAGTAAGGAAATGGGGTGGTTCCTAATCTTCATCTTTATTTTCTCTTAGTGATCAACGTTTGCCTTAGAAAGTTCCAAATTATTGGTCGGGGAGTAAATGGAGTGAGTAGTTGGGCAACGAAGATGTGAAGAAAAGGCTAAAGATATGGAGTTAAATGTTTTGTTGGCTTTCCAAATAAAAATTTCGTAAAAGTGTAGAAGAGCTTTGTACCTATCATTGTTTTCGATGGGTAAAGATGGAGTAAGTGACTATACATTTTTTTTTAAATAAATTAATCCAGAAAGACTTATACCATTTTTTATGGCATATATTTCCTAGAACTAGCTCCATTCCAAATTTGTCCTTTTTCACCAAATGCGCAGATCTTATGCACAGTTTATTTGTATCTATCAGCATGGCTGTTCCTCAAATGGCCGATTTAACATTGCATTCGGACTCTGGGGACGCGCTAATTCATTAACCTACCTGCTACATCCCTTGTCAACAGCTATTCGCCCATTTCTGACTAGTTCAGACCATTAAAATTAGTGGATTATAGGAAGGCAAATAGATGGACGAAGAGAAGACAGTATCTTAGGGTCTGTCAATTTATCAGTCCACTTAAAGCCAACCAATTAATTACGTGCTACTCAAATAAAAGTAAGTAGTAGGGAGTGCAAAGGTGGCCCTACTAATCAACGTTTTGTACGACGCACTTTAAAATAACACAATGGGTTATGCTACAGGCTCTTTGTAGAGCTCGCTTAAAGTAATTTACTGACAAAATGTGACCCAAATAAAAATGCTTTTTGTATATTTGTTTTAATTGCTGTAGTTCAAACACGTCAATACTACCAAGTCTAAGTAAATGTTCGAAGATTCCCCCACTCCTGTTCCTAAAAAGGCTCTTTAGTTTTGAACCAATTTCTTTTTGGCCAAATTCTACTACATTAGAATTATCTAAGTGAAATGGGTTATTAAATTTCTGATCATTTTTCCGTAAGGCAAAATACTTTCTTTTTGAGAGAGCACAAGCTCATTGATACCCCTGTTCGCATATTGTTAGGAGCCATTGTGATAGTTGCAGAATGTTAGTTTTCATAATTTGGTGGTGGGTGCTTGTTTGAAGCCACTTAGCATCACTGCATTCTGTACACTGGTCAGTATTACTAACGTTGTTTTGCATATTTTTTGCAAGAATGGACGTATTGACAAAATGTTTAGAATGACTTCATTAGATCCGTTCATGCGACTTATATGTTCACAATGCCAGATAAAGATCATGATTTCAGTGACTACCTTACTAATGGCCTGCTTAATGGACTTTCAAAATTGTGTGAATTAAGCACCTTAAATAATTAAATGTTTGGGACACGTTAACTATCACTGCATAGCG